AAACAGCAACAAAGCAAGGCAACACAACAGAGGCACAAAGCAAGCACGGAAACTCGACCAGAGAATCAAAACAAGCAAAAGCAACAAAAAGGCAGCAACATAGCAAACAAAGAAAAATCCAAAAAAAAAAAAACTACAAAAGCAGCAAACACAACGGCGAGCAAACCAAAAAAGCAAACACCACAACAATGCCAGGCACACGCAGACAAGCCCCACCTAGAAGCAATCGGTACAATGAAGGCTCGACCACTGCGAGATGAGACGGTGGCCGGTATGGTCCCTAAACTTCCTCCACCTCATCATTATCCCACTCTTCCGACTCCTCCTGCTGCTTCGCACTTCATCCTCCTACTCCTGATGTTCCTCCTCTTCCGCCTCCTCCTCGACATCCTCCTCCTCCTCGTCCTCATCATCATCAGCCTCATCATCAGCAGCAGCAGCAGCAACCGCATCATCATCATCATCATCATCATCATCATCATCATCATCATCATCATCATCATCATCATGATCATCATCATCATCATCATCATCAGCAGCAGCAGCATTATCATCATCATCATCATCATCAGCAGCAGCAGCAGCCGCATCATCATCATCATCATCATCATCATCATCATCATCATCATCATCATCATCATCGTCATCCTCATCATCATCATCACCATCATCATCATCATCACCATCATCATCAGCATAGGCTTCAGCATTATCACCATGATCATCATCATCATCATCATCAGCAGCATCATCACCATCAGCAGCAGTACCATCATCATCGTCATCAGCATCATCAACACCATCATCATCATCAGTAACAGCATCATCATCATCATCATCATCATCATCATCATCATCATCATCATCGTCAGCATCCTCATCATCATCATGATCAGCATCATCATCAGCAGAATCATCATCCTCTGCAACATCATCATCGTGCTCACCATCATCATCATGATCAGCATCAGCATCATCATCAACAGCATCATCAACACCATCATCACTATCAGCAGCATCACCAAAATCAGCATCAGACAAGCGTCATCAGTATCTCTTCCTCTTCCTCCTCCCCCTCATCATCAGCAGCATCATCGGCATCATCATCAACAGCAAAATCATCATGATCATCATGAGCATGATCACCATCATCAGCATCATCAGCATCATCATCATCGTCAGCATCAGCATCAGCATCATCATCGTCCTCATCGTCATCATTATCATCAGCATCATCAGCCTCGGCATCAATCATCATTATCAGCATCAGCATCAGCATCACCATCATCAGCAACATCAGCATCATCATCGTCATCATCACCACCATCACCATCACCATCACCATCATCACCATCATCACCATCATCACCATCATCAGCATCATCAGCATCATCAGCATCATCAGCATCATCAGCATCATCATCATCATCATCATCATCATCATCATCATCATCATCATCATCATCATCATCATCATCATCCGCATGCGTCTCCTTTTGACCCAAAAGCCCCCGACTGGGCATCTGGCGCACGGGCCGCGCGCGCCCCCCCCCCTGCAGAGGCGCCTGCGGCTCGCTGGACCCTGAGGCGTCGAGCACCAGGTCGCACCCCGCCGATGCGGTCGTGGGCGCCACCAGCTCCGCCTTGCCCCAAGGCCACGCCAACGGCAACGATGGTTGACGGCGATGTTGGAGAATCTAGTTTTTGCGGCGCGGAACTCTCGACCCTCCTCCTCCTCCTCCTCCTCCTCCTCCTCCTCCTCCTCCTCCTCGAAACGGAGAAATCACAGGAAGCACGAACAACGCTCTCCTACAGCTGGGTTGGCCACGAGCCATCCCCCAGCTACAATATACCGAAGCCTACACCGCGTGCCTGCGGTCGGCGGGGTGGGTGCCATCCCCAGCTCTCCCGCAGACGTGCTCGCTTCGAACACAAAACGCACGACGGAACTTTTGTTTGCCCGCTTGGGGCTCTTGGGGGCCCTCCTCGGGCCCCGAGGCCCTGACAAACACGGCTCGGGACGAAGAACCGGCCCTTCGGGAGGGTCAGGACTCCTGGGGACCCCGCGCTGGAAAAAAAACAAGCGAAAAACAAAACAAACAATCAAAAACGGTTGCGCATCCATTTGGGCCTGCCGCGCGCTCGCGGGGCGGCCTGGGGGCCGCGGGGCGCCATACAGATGGCTGCGGCGGTGCCGCCGGCTGCCGAAACGACGAGGAGGAGGAGAAGGAATAGGAGGAGGAGGATTGCGAGGAACTGGAGATGATGGAGGAGGAAGAGGAGGAGGAGGAGGAGGAGGAGGAGGAGGAGGAGGAGGAGGAGGAGGAAGAAGAGGAGGAGGAGGCGGCGGCGGATGAGGAGGAGGAGGGAGGAGGAGAGGAGGAGGAGAGGAGGAGGAGGAAGGAGGAGGAGGAGGAGGCGGCCAGCGGCGCCGAGTCCCTCCCCCACGGATGGCGGCCTCGATTGCCTGGCGGATGGCGGCCAAGAGGAGGCCGCCCCTCCTCCACGGAGGGCGCCCCCGCCGAGGCCGCGCTCCCCCGAGGACGTCGCATGCCGGGCAGGATACGGGAGGAGCTCGACCTCAAGAAACCTTCCACAAGAAGCAACACTGGCACCCCAGGTCGTCCGCTCATATTTTTTGTGTGTGGGGGGGGCCTCACGCTTCTTCCACAGCAGGACCATCGAAGGCCAAGAAACCCATGGCACACTGGAGGCGAACAGGGTGTTTCTTGGCATGGGCCTCCAATGCGCATCTTCAAGGCAAGGCGGCTCTGCGCGGATGCTCCGCGAGACACGCGATGGGGTCCAGAAGCCCCGAATACAAAACACGCTGGCTCTTGGGGGAGGAGGAGGAGGAGGAGCAGGAGGAGGAGGAAATGGAAATGGAAGAGGAGGAGGAGGAGGAGGAGGAGGAGGAGGAGGAGGAGGAGGAGAGGAGGAGGAGGAGGAGGAGGAGAGGTGTCGACCCCTCCGGTCCTCGAGCCCAGGGCACCCTGGAGGCGAGCAGGGTGTTTCTTGGCATGGGCTTCCACTGCAGCTGCTCCGCCCCCGCGCCTTCCTGCGACGTCGGCCTCCGGGGGCCCGCTCTATCGGGGCCCCGCGGGCCCTCAACCGCGGCACGCGCGGCGCAAAGCTGCCCCCATCAGGGGGTGAGAAAGAAGGTGGCCTTTGGGGTGAAAGGGAAAGGGGGGTGACGGGGAAGGGGCAGGGGGAAGGTGCTAAGGCCCAGTAGTACGGCCGGCGTGCTGACCCCCCCCCCCTCTTCGCGACCAACGGGTGCGTCGCGCATTCGTCGCCCGTGCGCCGCCCGTGCGTCGGCCGCCGAAAAGGCCAGCCGTCCTCGCGAACGTGCACGTCGCCCTCGCAAGGAGGCACTTGCGGACGCCACCCTGGCCCGGCCAACGAGCGCAGAGGCACCGATCCTCTGCCGGGCTCCGTGGGTGGCTGGCGCCCTGGCCTCGGCGTCGCCGCGGCCAGACGCAGCGCGAACAGCTGGCCAGGATAGACCCTGGGAGGCGCCTGGGGACGACGACGACGACGACGACGACGACGACGACGACGACGACGACGACGACGGCGGCGACGGCGACGGCGATGGCGACGGCGGCGGCGGCGGCGGCGACGGCGACGGAGACGACGACAGAGACGGCGACGACGACGACGCCGATGACGACGACGACGACAGAGACGGCGACGACGACGACGACGACGCCGCTGACGACGACGACAACATTGTTGAATGTTTTTGCGGCTGGGGCCCGAAACGGCAAGCCTCCAATCCAAAGGCGTATGAGAAGAGAGGGACCCAGACTTTGGGCGCACTGCGCCTTTATTCCTGGCGTTGTTCCTTCACTTCGGCCTCCCCAGGGGTATCTCCAGACCACGGAACTCTCGCTGGGGCCATGCCAAAGAGTGACACCACTAGGGGGTCGCCACTTTCTCGAGGAGACGCAATTTCTTTGAGGAAGTAGCCCCCGGCAACACTCCAGAGCCTCCCAGAACGACCCGAACGTCCAAACACCTCCCCGAGCTCCGATGCTTTGGGTAACCCGAAACGGGGTCCAGCTAAAAGGGGTTGGTGCAATAGATTTTGGGCAACTGTTTTGCAAAATGTATTGCGCCGGAGAATTCGATTGCATTGCATTGCAGGTAGTGCATCGCGCATGGAAATGCAGCAGCACATCTGCACCCCGAGATGTAGTGCACGCCCCAGATGTACTGCAACCCCACAAATCTACTGCACCTAATCTATTGCACCACCCCCTCGTCGCTGGACCCCCTTTTGGGTCAGCCCGGGATGCTCGAACCTCCATTTCAAGGAAGAGCCGGCGCCCCCCATGGTGGTGACCGCCCCCTGGCACTGCCCGGATCACGCGTTCACGCGGCATGGAGCGCTGCCCGTGGGGAAGCGGTCGGGCTCGCGGTCGGGACTCCAAGCCGCGCCCCCGTGGATACGCGTCGCTCATTTCTGGTCGCACTAATTTCTAAGTGCGCTCGTGTCTAACTGTTCCTGCCCCCCTGGTGGCCAGGAAGAGGCCCAGGACAAAACAATTAGAAATTAAAGGATCTTGGCCCCCCAAAAAATCAGAAACTTTCGAATACTTAGAAATGAGCAGCGTGTATGCACATGCCATGCAGGGAGGCTCTGCACGGATGCCAGGCGAGACACGCGGTGGGGTCTGGAGCCCCCGAATCCAAGATAAGCCAGCTCTTTGGGAGGCATCCTCACCTTCCGCTGGCTGCCGCTCGGCTTTCCGCCGCTGAAGAGGTGTCGGACCCCTCGGTCCTCGAAGACGGTGCCATTTCTGGGGCGCCCCGCGCATCTATGGGATCGCGCAGCCATGGTGTCACGCCTCGGTGTCCACACTGAGCACGGGTATCCATACATGCCAACAGTCCCGCCCTTTCCCCGGGGCCGATTTCGCATCCCGAGTCGTTCTGTGACGGCCATAGGGCCCGGTGAGGGCCCCGAGAGCCAAAAACGACCAAAACCTATTTCTCCCAAAACGCAAGCATGTCTGTGTATGGACGTATGTAATATATATATATATATATATATATACACAACAAAAAAACCTCGCCCGAGGTCAGAAAGGCCAGGCAAGGCGCGACGCGCCACCTCCGGCGGCGGGATCGACGACAGCACTACCTCGAAATACGCCGATGCCCCGTCCACGACGGCGCCCTGGGGCGGGGGTGGGGGCGCCACTCTCCTCCTCCTCCTCCTCCTCCTCCTCTCCTCCTCCTGCTCCTGCCTCCTCCTCTCCTCCTCCTCCTCCTCCTGTTCCTGCTGCTGCTCCTCCTCCTCCTCCTCCCCTCCTCCTCCTCCTCCTCCTCCTCCTCCTCCTCCTCCTCCTCCTCCTCCTCCTCCTCCCCCTCCCCCCCTCCCCCTCCTGACGGGGGGGAAGGGCACCCATGTGAGCGGAAAACCGACGTGGGCTGGTCCGAAGGCGGTTCACGGTGCACCCACGGCTGACGCCGAAGCCAATGCTGCAGTGCAAAGGAAAACGGGAAGGGTACAGTCAACAGGCCTGGTGGACAGCGCATGGCGGATTTCGGACACCCGGAACCCAAACACGATTTCACCTCATGGAACGCATATGTTACTTCCGCCGCCTTCCGCCGCCCTTCCTGTTTGTCTCCGACGCTACACCCTTGAAAATTCGGCGGGGTGCTTTGCGATTGGGCTCGATGAAAAACCGCATTCGCGGCGCAGCACATTCTCCGAAGACCAAGGCACACAATACCACGGCACAGGAAGTCAACACTCTTCGCATTGTGCTGGGGCCCGAAGGGGCGCCGAGACAGGGATGGCGAGTCGTTGGAAGCAAACGAGACAAATGATCCAGCAAACGATGATGCGGCTGGTCTCGCCCCGCGAAGTTCACCCGAACTAGTGCCGTCCAGATGACGAAGGGCAACAAAGCTTCCCTGACGAACCAGTACTGGAATAAACAATAAATTGTACCAGCTCGAATACCAGCGCCAGGGACCGCCGAATGCAATGCGTCACCGCATGAGCCAGGCCGAGACGTGGACCAAGTAGTGCAGCAGCAACAACCCAACGGGGAACAAGTAAGCGGTTCATGTCGACAACCTCTCACGGGCAGAAGGCATGCTCGAGGAAACTGCCCATACAGCCACCCACAGGCCCGTCATCACAGCAAGAACCGGTCCCCGTAGAACACCAACCCGCTGTTCGCAGGACCCGGGGCCGCCTCTGCACGCTCACCTCGCCGGCGCAGAAGCTGCCAGCAGCGCCCAGCCGCGCGGCGGGCATCGCACATGGCAGGTCTGGTCGGATGCGGGCGTTGGTCACAGCCAGGGGGGGGACTTGCGACCCCCCCTGTGGAGGCAAACGGATCCTTGAGCCGCCGAGGCTTCGCCGCCCTTCCATGGGCTTCCGCTGGCGGAGGCGGCCTCGCTCTAGTTCCGCCGGCCTTCCGCCGCCTTTGGCCGCGGAAGAGACGACAACTCGAAGGCAAGGCTCTCTTCGAAGCGCACCACATCGCCAAGCGGTGCTGCAGTCTCCCCTGAACACAAGACCCCCCACCCCAAACGAGGGGCAACGACAGGGGGACTGGCTCAGGGGGGGAAGGCATCGGCCTGGAATCGGCGATTCGTCGCCGATAGATCCGCGATAGGCCCCTGATAGCAGACCCGCACCTTCCCGGGCAAGGCGGGGCTATCAGAGCCCTGTCGGCGATGAATGAGCGGTTGGGGGTCGACGCATCCACCCCCCCCTATGCCTATCCCCCCCTGTCGTTGCCCCTGACCCGCGCATCCGCCACATAAGTTGGGTCTGTACCCTCATGCCGCTGCGGGGCTCTGGGCGCGCTTCGGCACTGCCGCTGCCACTGCCGCGCCCCTCGTCAGGGCCACCGTTCCGTGCGACAGCGACAGCGGCAGCGGAGCGGCGCGGCGGCCAAGCATCTGTCCCGCAGGGCTGCTCCACGGCGCGCACAGGCAGGCCAGAATTTTTATCGCATCCGCGCCGCTGTTCCCTGGTTCCGTCGCCGTTGTTCTCTGGTTCTGGGAACAATATGTTAAACAGATGTCACGCCACCAGACCATTTTCTAAAAACCGCCTGGAACACAGCCCTGCTGATTCTGGGGCCTGCTGCGCAAGGTGTGGCAGAAGCGGCCGCTACGAGGGATGGCAAGAAACGATGGGAGTTTGGAGGTGCAGGAAGGAGCGATACAGTAGGAGGTCGACCACGAGAAACCTTCCGCAATGAACGCAACCCTGAGACCCCAGGGCGTCCATTGATTTGTTGTGTGGGAACGTCACGCATTTCATGGCAGAACCCTCGAAATCCAAGAAAGCCAGGAAACCCAGGGCACCCTGCAGGCAGGGTGTCTCTTGGCATGGGATTCCGCTGCAGCTTGCAGGCCCGAGTGGCGTCGCCCTCCTGCCCGGGGATGCTGCAAGAGCCGAGCACCTGCTCGCACCGAGTGCAAGGCAGCTCAGTCTGAAAAACCGACAGCGGGGAGAGGGGGGGGATTAGGACGTGGACTAGGAACGGCGACCCAAGCGAGGTGAGGCTTCGGAAGGCGGGAGCCTGTGCCACGAGGTTTTGGGCTAGGGTCGGGTCGGTCAACCCTTAGCCTCCCTCTTAGCCAAGTGATCCTCCTCCTCCTCCTCCTCCTCCTCCTCCTCCTCCCCCTCCTCCCTCTTCCTCCCTCCTCCTCCTCCTCCTCCTCCTCCTCCTCCTCCTCCTCCTCCTCCTCCCTCCTCCTCCCTCCTCCTCCGCCTCCTCCTCCTCCTCCTCCTCCTCCTCCTCCTCCTCCTGGGGCAGGGAAGGGGGGCAGGGGAGGGAGGGCAAGAGGAGGAGCGCAGGGAGGGGTGGGGAGGCGAGGCGGCCGAGGGGGGGATTCGGATTCGGACTCGGAGCGACTGCGGAGCAAGATGCTAATGAGCACTCTTGAAGGGGCCCTTGGACACACAAATAAATACACACAAATAACAGGATCCCTCATATATTCTTATAGTTTCTGGGTTTTTGTCTTCCCCCCACTTCCCATATTTTCCCATATGTTCTGGGACATCGACGATGAATTGTGTCTGTGTGTTCTTTCCCTCCTGAACTCTGCGAGCCACCCACTGACCTCCATGAGCAGCACGAGCATGGGTCCCCCCATTCTTGACCAATGTTCCCTCACTCCACCAGGAGCGAACGAGTACGAGGCCGTGCAGGATAGCCGAACGAAAACGCTCAAACCACAGAAGGCCAGGCGACCCCCAACTGTTGGATCACCGTGTGCCAGGCATCCCCGGTTAATATGCCCGCGACTAGTGAACGGATGTTTAAACTACATGGGGAAGCCCGCATGGCTAACGAGAAACAGAGAAAGACAAACCCGTGCATGGTCAGAGCGTGCATAAACCATGACTGAGGAAGCATATCGATATCAATGCAACCACGTGCCCCGAACGCCGCGAGAACCTTCCTGAAGCCCAGGCAGCCGAGGTGCAGCCTGCGAACACCCAGGACAATGACCGGCAGTTGCGCGGCTCGGAAGCACGGACGGCCGGCACGTCCACCTCCAAGAAGGAGACACGCAGCACCGAAGCAGTCCCGCCACAAAGCGGCGTCCTGCAGGGGCAGAAGCCCCCCAGCACGCCGACCGCCTGGGAGGGCAACCCAACCACCAAACGTGCCATGCGAAAGACTACACCCATGGGCGTGGCGACATGGACGCGGAGGCCCAGGTGGAAGACGCCCAGCGCTGGGGATACGCGCCCTCGGCCGTAGACGTGGCGAGCCGACCGCTGAAGCACACGAGGAAGAGGACTGCACCAGCGCCGGCACGTGCCAACTGGACGGGCTGATCGGAGCCTCGGACATCGCCCTCGCCTTCCGCCACGGAGACCGACTGCACGAAAACATGCGGTAGGCTCAAAACGCCCCCCAAGAAAAGGCGGTGGAGGGCGCGAGGCGCGAGGCCTGGCCTCAAGCCAAATTCGAAAGGGCTGCTCGAGCCCAGGTGCCTCGAGGGCGACCGACGGGGGAGGGAGCGAAAGGGCGGGGCAGGGAGGGGCAAACAGGGAGGGCGGGAGACAGGGGGGAAGGGGAGGAGCGAGGGCGAGAGCAGGGGACGGCGAGGGGAGGCGGACGCGTGAGCGATCCACCAGCGAGGTGGGGAGGAGGGCGTGCTCCCCCGGGCAGGGGAGCGCGCGAGGGGGGGGGCGAGCAGGAGACGAGAGGGGGGGGGGAGGGGAAGGGCACGAAGCCCATGAGCACATTCTGTGCGCTTCTCGACTGCCGCGTGTGCACGTCGTCCTCGCGCAGGGGCCGTGCTGCTCTCCTCTGCAACGTGCCGGCTCTGACGGCTGATCCCCGACGGGGAGCCCAGGGGATGGGAATGATTAGCAATAAAAGGACCCCAAACCCTTTGTGAGGGGACCCAAGTTAGGAGGTCCAAGAAGCATTAGGGATACGGGGCCTTTCCTGCAGATGCGTCAAGCCCAACCGCCCAGAATTCTGACCCTGATGCGAAGACGGGGCCTAAGTGAGGCCACGTCTTCACCGTGCTATCAGGGCTAGGGGCTGGTTTGTGCTCGAGGATCAAGCGCCTGACTCCCAAGGGGACCCAAGGGATGGGAAGGGGGGGAGCGCAAGCGGCACGAGAGGAGAGAAGGCGAGGACGCGGCCAGAGACGCAACAGCAAGAGCGACACGCCGTGAACCGAGGAGGAGGAGGAGGAGGAGGAGGAGGAGGAGGAGGAGGAGGAGAGGAGGAGGACGACTCGGACGACAACGACGACGACGATTAGCCTGGGGGAGGCGGGTCCTGAGGGGAGCTGGTCCTGGGCCCCGGGGCCCTCTCCCAGGACGAGCCCTTCCTCCCGAGTCGCTCTTGCACGGCCCCGGGCCCGGGGCCCAGGAACGGTGAGAAAAGATGACTCAGAGAGAGGACAGGAGGAGGAGGAGGAGGATGAGGAGGAGTCAGGAGGATGGAGGAGGAGGAAGCAGGAGGAGCAGGGGAGGAGGGAGGAGGAGGGAGGAAGGGGAGAAGGAGGAGGAGGAGGCAAGAGAAGGGAGGACAGGAGGCGAGGAGGATGAAGGAGGAGGAGGAGGAGGAGGAGGAGGAGGAGGAGGAGGAGGGAGGAGGACCCGCTCCCCTCGGGACCCGCTCCCCCCCGTGGCGAGAGGATAGGGGACGAGGGCGAGGAAGAATAGGATGAAGTCGGGCCTGTCCCCCCACAGGGGGATTTTCGACGAAACAAAAAACGTACCCCAAAAATAGCCCCAAAATGCTCCAAACATAGTATGCGGAGGTTTTTTATGTATTTGTTTGACCATTTGGGAGGTATTTCTGGGGTATTCTTTACTTTTCGTCGAAAATCCCCCTGTAGGGGGACAGGCCTAACCTAAGAGAAGGAGCCGGGCTTCGCTCCCTGGACCTCCATCACCGCATCGGCGCGCACCTCGTAGGCGCCAGGGCTGCCCAGAGTCGTGGCCAGCAGCCGCAGCTTCGTGGTCGGCAGGCCCGCCTGCGAGGCGAGGAGGACAGGGACGGGGAGGGAGAAGGTCCTGGGATGTCCTCTGTGGGACGCGCAAAGACATACTACGTAGTACGATCTGTCCTCCTTGGAGGCGTGGGTGCGACCCGAACACGTCGCACAACCATCGTGCAGTGTATCGCTTCCCGAGCGGTACGGGGCCAAAAAGCGCCCACCACGAAGCATATACCAGAAGATTTCACGGTGCGCGGCATCGCCCCTGGCGGGGTGGGCGACGCACACACACACAGTACCAGCGTGCTGGGATGACGCCGACTCCGAGTGGCTCTTCGGCGATGCGTCCGCGGCGCCCGATCGCCTCCGGCAGCCTCCGAAGCGGGGGGGGGGGGCCCGGAACCCCGACGTCGTGCCCTCTCACAGCGTGGGCCTCTGGAGAACTGGGCCCGGGTCCCGCGAGCGGTCCGCCTCTCCTCCCGGGTCGTCTCTGTGGACGGCCCTGGGGCCCGTGGAGGGGCCCCCCGAGGGGCAGAAGTTTGCCGAGCGCCACCCGGCGTGCTCTCTTCTCGCGGGGCGAACAGGGAGGCTGTGCACGGTCGCCGCTCCGCGATTGGCGGCAGCGGATTGCCGTCCTTTTGGGGCGAGCCGCTGCGGTGCTCGTCTCCTCCGCTACCGCACCAGCGTCCCAATAGTGGATCGCTGGTGCACCTTTCTTGTACAGGTGGTCACATCGAAGCTTGTCCGCGCAGACGTGTCCAAAGCAGCAGCAGCAGCAGCAGCAGCAGCAGCAGGAGGAGAGAGGAGAGAGGAGGACGAGGACGAGGGCGAGGAGGGGGCCCGAGCAAGAGCGGGCGCACGAGCAGGAGCGGCAGGGGGGGACGACGAGGAGGAGGAGGGCGAAAGACAGGAGGCGGAGCAGAAACAGTTTTTTGATCCGCGCGTCGAAAGCGCACCTCCTCCGGTCGAAGCTAACGCCCCCCGGCGGAGCAGAGGCAGACAAAGGGACGAGGAGCAGCAGCAGCAGCAGCAGCAGCAGCAGGACGGAGGAGCAGGAGCAGAAGGGGCAGGAGGAGGAGGGGCCGCAGCACCGGCAGGAGGAAGGGGGCAGGAGCCAGGAGGCAGACGCCAGGAGGGAGTAGTCCCTGTCTCGCCTCACCATCCTCCCTCCTGCTCATCATCACTCCCTCCCTCCCCCACCCACTTCCATCCCTTTCCATTTCTCGGCCTCTTGTTCCTCCTCCTCCTCCTCCACCCTACCTCCTATTCGTCCTCCTACTCCTCCTACTCCTCCTCCTTATCATCATCATAATCATCGGTATCACTATCATCATCCTCATAATCATAATCATCATCATCATCATCATCATCATCATCATCATCATCATCATCATCATCATCATCATCATCATCATCATCATCATCATCATCATCATCATGATCATCATGATCATGATCATGATCATCATCATCATCATCAACATCACCATCATCATCAGCATCAGCATCATCCTCATCAACACCATCATCCTCATCCTCATCATCAGCAGCAGCATCGTCATCATTATCATCGTTCCAACTATCATCATCATCATCATCATCATCAGCATCATCATCAGCATCATCATCATCATCGTCATCCTCATAAGCATCAGCAGCAGCATCGTCATCATCATCAGCAGCGCAGCATCATCATAAGCATCTTCATGATCCTCTCCCTCGTCCTCATCATCATCAGCATCATCATCATCGTCGTCATCATCACCCTCATCCTCAGCATCGTCATCATGAACATCCTCATCATCACCCTCATCACCATTATTATCATCATTCTCATCATCACCGTCATCAGCATCATCATCACAATCATCATCCACTGCCTCCGCCTCCGCCTCCTCCGCCACCTCCTCCTCCGCCTCCTCCGCCTCCTTCGCGGACGGTGGCGGCGACTGTAGCGGCGACGGCAGCGGCGGCGGCGTCGACAGCGGCGGCGGCGGCAGCGGCGGCGGCGGCAGCGGCGGCGGCAGCAGCGGCGGCGTCACGACGCCGACGCCGACTGCGTCGACAGCAGTTGGCAGACGGCAGACGGCAGACGGCGACCCCGCGAGCGCGCGGGGCCCGCGAGAGGCCCGCGGACCCCGCGCCCACCCCGAGACGCTCGCCAGGGGCTCTCTGCGGTTGCCGCCGCCGGGCCGGCGCCAACGACGCCCGCCTACGGAGCCGTCGTCCTTGTCGCTGGCACCGTCGCAGCCGCCTGGTCGTCGACGGGGTGACGCCGCGGTGAACGCGGGCCGCCGCCGCCGCCTTCGCCGCCGTCGGAGGCGGCGGCGCGGCAGCCGCCGCCGCCGTCGTCGACGCTCGCGATGGAGAGGGGGACGACAGCGTGGGCTGGGGGGCCCGCCGTCGGAGAAAGGGCGCTCCACACCGAAGACCCCTCCGGGCGCCAGGACCAGGCCACCTCCTGGTGCGGCGAAGGGGGCCGCGGCGTCCCAGGAGGAGGGGGCACCGCAGCGGAGGCACACGTCGTGGCGGCAGTCCTCTCCTCAGGTCTGGCATTCGGGTCCGGGCGTCGGGCCCCAGGAGCCTCAGAAAACGGCTTGGGATGGAGAACTGGCCCCTGGGCAAAACTCGAAGCACGCGCCTCGAAGACATCGGAGCGCCAGGTGCCCGGGGAGAGGAATCCTTGCGCCCTTTGGGAATCTCTGGGGGTCATCTCGTCGCGACCGCTGGATTCCCATCGGCCATCTCGCATTTCAAAAAAGCCCCCCTCAACAAATCCGCGCGGGGCTCCGAAACCTCCCGCTCCCCGTCCCCGTCCTCCTTGCCTCCTCCTTGCCTCCTCCTCCTCCTCCTCCTCCTCCACCTCCTCCTCCTCCTCCTCCTCCTCCTCCTCCTCCTCCTCATCACATCTCACCAATCATCCCATCATCATCATCATCTCATCACCATTCACATCACCATCAATCCATCATCATATCTTCATCATCATCATCCCACATCATCATCATCATCATCCTCATCCTCATCCTCATCCTCATCCTCATCCTCATCATCATCATCACATCATCATCATCACATCATCATCATCATCTCCATCTCATCACATCATCCATCATCATCATCACAGCTCCTCCTCCCTCTCCTCCTCCTCCTCCTCCGCCTCCTCCTACCTCCTACTACTACTCCTCCTACCTCCTCCTCCTCCTCCTCCTCCTCCGCCTGGCTTCCTACTCCTCTGCCTCCTCCTCTCGTCCTTCTTCTTCCTCTTCCTCCTTCTCCTCACACCTCCCTCTCCTCTCCTGCTGCTCCTCTCCTCCTGTCTCTCCTCCTCCTCTGCCTCCTCCTCTTATTCTCCCTCCTCCTCCTCCTCTCTCCTCCTCCTCCTTCTCCTCCTCCTCCTCCTTCTCCTCCTCCTCCTCCTCCTCCTCCCCAGCCTTTGTTCTGGGACGCCCTTCCATGCGATGCGAGCGGATCGAGGAGGGCAGCCGCCCCCCTTCTCTCCCGGCCCGCGCCCCCCGCGCGCACGCCCCGCACATTCCCAATGAATACCACCGTGCACGCCCCGCCCACACCCCGTGCACACCCCGTGGATGCCCCAGATGTTCAGGAGAAGAGGGGGGGAGGGGAGGAGGAGAAGGAGGAGGAGGACGAGCAGAAGGAAGAGGAGGAGGAGGAGGAGGAGGAGGAGGAGGCAGTGGAGGAGGGCGAGGAGGAGGAGGAGGAGGAGGAGGAGGAGAAGGGCGACGCCAAGGAGGACGAGGAGGACGCGCGCTCGCTCGCTACCTGCGCATGGCCAAATCTCGAGTCACTCGAATGGGGCGGTGGCCGCAGGGGGTTCGGGAGGCATTATGTTCCCGCCGATGTCAAAACTCTACGGGAGCCTCTCCCCCAGCAGTCAGCTTTGGGACTCCATGATTGCAGCACAAGGACGAGAGGCCAGTACGTGCAGTGCGCAGACGCAGTCTCGGCGGCGCAGCGATGACGAGAGGAACACAGCAGCAGCAAGGGGCGGCGGCAGCGGAGACGAGGGGGGAGAGCATGGCCAGCCAGGACGTACACGACTCAAATGCTGAGCTAAATTGGCTCCAGCACCGCACTAACAGCGGAGACCCCTGCACGTACAGGGCGGGCGACAGTCTGACAGTAGACATGGTGAAAGATGTCATTCGAAACCCTAGCGAAAGTATAACCGAGCCAGTTCCTATCGAAACGCTTCTCGCTGACCGAAAAGGCCATTTCCTGTCGAGACGCTTCTCGCTGGCCGAAGAGGCCAGTTCCTGTCGAGACGCTTCGCGCTGGCCGAAAAGGCCGGCTCCGATCGAGGCGCATCTCGCTGGCCTCGCAGGCACTCCCCAGCAGCGACGAGGGACGAAGGGAACGGAGGATGAGGACGAGGAGGACGAGGAGGATGATTTGAGGGATGAAAGCGGCCCTACCCTGGGTTGCAAGTGCGTGGTCTGTAAACCTCCCGGGAACCCTCAAATCCTAGAACCGCCAGGACGCGGCACATCACGCAGGGTTTACCCTGTCAGCCCACAG